ACTGAACTCAAGTCATATTTGGTGTCATATCAAAAAAATAAAATGATGTAGATGTCAATATCATCTTTTCTTGCAAATCATCACTAAATCACTTATAATTTCATAGTAAATGATTGTCTATCGATCACTATGAAGCAACACACATAACAAGAATTAATATAAAGCAGGGTGCGAGTAAATGTAGGGTTTTTTTTCATATTGTTTATTTTTTCTCCAAAGATTTTAAAGATTAATCATGTGATCATCAAAGATCATCATTATGATTTTGAATATAATTGGAGCAAGGTATCTTTTTTTCACTCATATGTCACTATCAAAACTTCTATGTTATTTTAAAAAGATTTCTATAATTCAAGATAGGTCTAAAACATGAATCAAATTTAAATCTTCTTGCAATTATATCATCATCACATGACGCCAAGTCTCTTAAATATTCAAAAATCAAGATTTATGAGATTGTAATGATAATGGTTAGGATTGTCTAAATTGTCAACCACTATGATGTTTTTGACACGCCAGTCATTAGAGCTCATGTGCTATTGTCAATACTTACAACTACAACTAACGATTGTAATGAGTTTGGTTATGGTGATTGTTCGTTGTTTCTTATTTCTTTTTCTTGCATAATTTTTTAGACAGTCACGACCTAGAATACCACTTAAAAAGCCATTTGTTTTACAACACATCTTTGCGTATCTTAAATTCTTTCCATTGTGAAGCTTCTTACTAGCGCAATCTATTGACTCTTCTATATGTGAAGTTTTTTCAATCTCTTTAGATTTGTAGGAAGCAATATGATAGGTTGTAAGTTGTAACAAACAAAGTATATCATTCTCAATCACATCATAAATTCTATTGACTCTTCCATATGTGAAGTTTCTTCAGTTTCTTTAGACTTGTAGGGTGCAATATGATTGATTGTAAGTTGTAACAAACCAAGTATATTGTTTTGAATCACATCATAAATTCTTTTTTGCAAAATGTGTCAATTAGTGTAGTTAGATTTATGATTTTCATTTGTGGTAAGCTAAGAATGCTCCCCACAGAAATTAACTAGATTTCGCCAATCAAATTAGTTTACACTACTTTTTTGATAGGGATCGTTGATGGAAAGAGTAGAGTGTAAATAAATTAGAAAACTCTATCGTAGTAGGTGTGATAAAATTGTAATAAGATTAAGTGAAAAATTAGCCAAACACAAAACCAGTATCTGGTTGCCAAATTAATTCAAAACTAGAAAAATGTGTTAGGTAGATTAGATTGAACCTTCTAAGTAAAGATCTTGGGCTTCCAGAATACTTGGATAAGCTCTTTTAGGCTAAGCTAGGTATGACAAGATGTAGAGGACACATAGCGCTGACCAAGTGAAAGTTAGATACGTAATTCTTGGCAAATGAAATCCCAAGATTTCCCGTGGCGGCTAGGATTTTGGATACCGTCAGAGCCAACCGCAGTGAGGTTTAGGAATTTTAGTATTTAAATGCTCTTAAGAATTTTAAATTAGACTATTTTTTGCTTGTTTATGCGACTTGGTTCTGTTTTGCAACTCTTGCATTTTTTGTATGTAATCTTAGTACTGAATTTTTGCCTGTCCGGTAAGTGCTGCAAGGTCGGATTTATTAGTTTGTGAAAGAAAATCCTGAGATCAATTTTGAGCTGAAAATTTGTGATGAATGGGTTCTAGTGTGTAGTCGGAGGATCTCTTTATCTTTTTGTTTACATGTATAACGTTTGTGTGAGATAACCGCTGTTAGGATTGGGTAGTATAAGGTGGAGTGCTTTGGGTAGAAATTTTTGGATATACGCTAGTCCAACCTTTTGATGTGGTTCCACAATACTCGAGCGGAATAGTTCAGGAGATGGTACGTGACTTCCACTTATCATATATTATTAAATTCTCACTCTGAGTCCAGATCTAGATGTCATTGTAGTTCTTGGTTGGGGTTCGTGGGAATCTTCTGAGTGACATGCTGATCTAGACCTAACAGTTCAAAACAATTGTGAGAAGGTAACCGCGCCTTTTGTTTTCGTTTTTTTTTTTTTTATAGTGACTCTTCCGTCACTTTAATTTCTACAATAGTATGAGCCATACTCCCACAAGACCAACAGTGCTCTTGGATGTAGAGGTAAAACTTCTATTTTGTCATTGTTACATTTGTTGACTTTTGGTATATGAAACTAACAGTATCTGACATGGACGTCTAGATCCAGTTTTTGGAATATCATTTGTGAGATTAATCTCGGATCATTTGGGTTGTACTTTGGGTTTGTTGTTGTTAAACACCATGTCATGTGGGAATACTCTACTACTCTTTCTACTTCACAGGAATCACGAAACGAGTACTCGAGTCTCTATTAGTCAGGTTTTCGCTGGATTACTTGCTATTGAATGCTTCAAACGATACAGTATTGCGACATCATTCTCATCTCCTTGTCATTTATGTTATTTGTGAGCAAATCTAGACCATTTGAGTTTCCAATCAGTTTAGAATGATGTTACATTCTTGCCTATATTTGGCTTTGTTCATACTTAAGGAGATCATCGTTGAATTCATTTTGCTCATATGAAATATTAATCTTGAAAAAATCATTTTTGAACATGGAGAAAACAAAAACAAACAAAAACAATAATAAACTTTCTCTTAAAAGAAGCCTATATGTGTACTTTATAAGCCCAATGTAGTCTTTGATTAGAGATTTATGAACTTCTAAAGCAATCATCTTTTGTTGCACAATCTCACTTTGCTTATATTCAAACTTAAACGAATCCATATGATCATTTCATCTCAAATGGTCATAGATATATAATGCTCCAAATTCCGTTCCGCTCTTCCTTCTACCTTGTTTTGTACATAGTTGTGTACTTCAATTTCTTCAATTGTTCTCTTAACCTACTGTTGATTTACAATGCCAACATGTGGTTTGATCGTAATTGCAAACATCACTTTTTTCAATAAAATTTTGGCATTTGAAACAAAAATTTGTAGAAACAATGAACCAATCAAGGGCATTCCATTCATTTTTGCACTTCTTAATTCACAGTAATCATATACAACCCTAACATCAGAATATGACTTAACCAAACATTTGAAACAAAACTAATGTGCATACATGCATTTTATCTCACAATAATAATAGTAATTGATTTTTATTGCATTCTTACAATGAAAAACGTTGTTGCACCATCTCATTTTATGAATGATTTTAAGAAAAATCATTCAAAATGATTTTAAGAAAAATCATTCAAAATGATTCTTAGGTTCCGGATTATTGTTACCGACCAGTCTTAGCACTTTGTTTTCATGACCATATGGTTTGGATTCACTACATTAATGCTTCATGCAAAACAAATATCTATTTCGACACTACTTTATTTTCATCATAAAGTAGCTTGTCTAGGCTTGCCCATAGATTCATGTCCTGAACATAGGCTGAAATATCAAATTTATCATTGTAGTTGACAATCTCTTGTATGATCAATTCTAAAAAATGATAATTATTTATAATATTTTAAAATGAATACTCTATTGAGGTGTTTGTTTGAAGAATCACCATATGATTGACCACAACATATACTCGCGACTCTATCCAAGATGATTTGATTGTTCACAATCTTTCAACACTATTCTATCCATTTCTACTCGCAACAAGGATAAACTTGGTAATGAACCATTGCTTCATACTCTCTTAAAGTTTCCAAAGTGGAACCTATACCGAAGATTTTTTTCTTCTTGTTACTTGACATCCAAACTAGATATTACAATTGTATTTTTTTGCAAGAAAATCTCCATAAGAAAATCATCTTGATCAATCTAGTATGTTGTGTGAGAAACTGTATCTTTAATTCTTGTAGTTATGATATCAATTGTTACAAAATATGCAAAAGGAAAAAATAAACATGAACAAATAAAAAACAAACTAAGAAATATATAATTTGCAACTCTTGCTCTCCTTTCATAATATAGTATGAATTACTAATTATAACTAAGTCACATTAATCACAATTTAATTTAATTTACATATGTAAATTTTTTTTAAAAATAATCATACTTGAATGAAATTTTAAAATTATATAGAATATGATAACAAAATTTAAAAAAGTATTATACAAAAATCAAATTTGAGAATTAATTATAATAAAATTTTAAAAAAAATATTACACACGAATTAAAATTTAAAATTGTATGATAATTAAAATTAAAAAATATTACAAAAGAATTAAAATTGAAAATTATGTTTAATATGATTATTAAATTAAAAAATATTACAAATGAATTTAAATTGAAAATTATGTTTAATATGATTATTAAATTAAAAAATATTACAAATGAATTAAAATTGAAAATTATAAAATATAAATAAAAATTTATAAAAAATATAACATGAAGAAAATTTATATTATGAATCATAATTTAAAATTTTTCAAATTAATATTTTAAATATATAAAATTATATAGTGTTTTTTTACTAAAAATAAAAAATTTATAATTGAGTATAAAGATACTTCAAGCAAAATATATAAATATCATACACAATAATTTTCAGCTTTAAAAATAAAAAATTATTTAAATATAATATTTTTTAATAACATAATTTTGTATATAAATAATAGTTTCAGTCAGATATATATGAACATATTTATATATAATGAAAATATAATACTATTTATATATTTTGAATTATAGTCTCTATAATGAATAGTATCAAATTGAAATTCAATTCAATATGATGTCAAGGAGATAAATATTATATTCGATTTTATGATATATTAAATATTTTATAGAAATTATTTAATAAAAATTAAATAATTTATTTACATATAATATAAAAATCTAATTAATTTTTTTAAAATCCAGATATTTGAAATAAAACTTTTTAACTGAGGAATAAAAAAGTTTATTTTGAATTTTATTATTAAATATTCATAAATTAAAATATCAACCAAAACTTATATATATGTTCAATAAATATGTGAAAAAAATACACAACTATACTATACTATCCGGCCTATTGAACAGAACAAAAGGAAGAGAGTTATCATTTCCACAAAAAGTGAAACCGCCAGCGGTCCCGTGACCTCGGAGATGGTAAGTGGGGTCTTTGAATGAACTGTCACCACTTTGTAGAACCGGTGACCTCTTGATGTCTCGACGCAGAGGTCGGTCAGGTGTTCGAACGATGGGCCGACAAAGTTCTGTCTTCCAGGATGATCATGCCCAACCGTCAACAACTGGACACCAATCAACCCATCACAACATTTGGTCTTCGTCTACGTCGAGAAGATTGAAGGATCTCTTCCGTCCAAGTTCATTTCTCCGAGTCTTCACATCCACCGGTCATTCCCGGAATTGGTCGGCTGCGTGTGTATGCTCGAAGGAGCACTCGCGCTTTCGAACGAAGTTCCTAAAGTGTCTGCACTCCGCCTCACGGAGAGAATTCGCTTTGCCAGGTCGAAGCAAACGTCGACAATACCGTCCCGTCCCCTCTGCCTACCTTCTTCCATACACCAAAATGGAAGCAAATAGACGTACCTCATCGATGCTCTCGTTCTCCCAGCACCTCGGGCCAGTCACCAGATCGATCAGCATCCGATGCCCACCCGTCTGTTGCACATCCCTTCTCTGTTTCTACACAAGGTCAGCATAGACTTTTCCTCTTCTCCCCGCCGCCGCCGCCGATTCTCTCTCCCTCACGCACACACGCAAATCATTCAATCAATCTATCAGTCGATCGGATCAGCTCACGGTTTCGAACGAGAAAACGTTCTCCCTGATTCGCTAGCGATCATGACAGCTCCATCGCCAAGAGAAAGTTAGGACACGTACACCTTTTCTCAATCTAGGCGCTCGTCGTCGATCTGCTCCAAGTCTGCCACTGCTCACAGAATTAGTGACACGACGAACGAACGAAGGGCATTCTGAAGCGAGCGGATCGTCGATCGTCGTCGTCTGGCTGCTGCTGCTGCTGCGGAGGCCGAGCTGTCGTATCTCGGACACGAGTCGCACCTCGTCGCAATCCGGGCACTACCACAACCGAATGAAAAGCGAGTCAGCTCGATCTCTGGAGCTCGACGAGCTTTGGACATAGCGACCTTCGTCGCTTTCTCGCCACATGCGAGGACAGTGCGCTTGTCGGAAAAGATTCGAGCTTTTCACACTGCCCGGCCACGAAGAACCGGGCGGGCAGCTCCGGGCTCGACGCTTCCTTTTGTTCCCATTCGTTAACCGGTGAGTCCGAAGCGGGACCAGCCAATCCGGTATCCCCCTCTCCTCAGAAAGCCCCCGGCAGCGGGGCAGGCAGATCCGGTCAGGAGAGGACTGAGGCCGTTGACTGGGGTCATCCAGGGAAGAGACGAGCCGGACTGTAACCCGAGTTACCGAAAGTACACCGTGGTCAGAAGAAACTCGTCGGGGTCGGGGGCCGGCGCGGGCAGGAGGGTCATGACCGGGCATGACGACACGAGACGAGCGCACAAAGTCGGTCCGTCTGTCAGGCCATCGAGACGAGCCTGACGCGACGAAGGGGACGGACGGCGGGAGGTGGTGCTGGCGGCCGCGATGGAGTTTCTGATATCTGCACGGGCGCTCGCGAACGCGATCTGATCCCATTTGAATTGGATCGAATTGGATCGGATCTGAGAGAGAGAGAGAGAGAGAGAGAGAGAGAGGAGGAGGAGCAGGAGGAGGAGGCGAGGAAGCAAATCTGGGGCCATGACGCGGCTCTGGTTCAACTCGAAAGTTCTGTTCGGAGTCGCGGCCGTTTGTTTCGTCCTCGTGCAGGTGCGTCATGGAAAGCGGGGTATTGAATTGTGCAGGTCAGCGAAGAATTAAAAATTTTGAATTTCACGGTCTCGAGAGTTGCCGCTGCATTTTCCGGTTCCTGTCTTCTGTCACGAAGTCTTTCGTTTGTTTGCCCTTTTCTCTCTTTTGCTGCCCATTTGAGCTCTTTGGTGAGTCGAATCTTTGTTGGACTCAGCTTTCTCGATCTAGGGATTCCGAGTGTGGTTGCCTTTCAGCTCGGCGATCGATGTCGCTGCTAGATCTCCCGCTTCTGGATTGTGGCATTGTCTAATTTGTAGTCGTAGCAATACCCGATCCACGGATGTTTGATCCAAGGGTAGGAGCAAACTGAACGCGTATCTCGAAAGCAGGTCTGAGTTTTTTTTTCTGTGGTGGGGAGGTGGAGGTCTCTGTATTTTCAAATTACCACTCAATTTTGTGGCTGTCCACCGTAATTCGAAAAGATCTTCATTGTACACTCAATCAGTCAAGTGAGTCTCGCAAGAAGGTTAAGCTCGTTCGCGAATGCAAACACCTGACAGTACTGAATTCAATGTGGCGTATCTTCCTCTCAGGTGAAGCTTTTTTCATCGCAAAGTCAGTATGCAGATCAAATTGCAACTGCGGTGAGTTTCTTCCCTCAAATCTTGAATGTTCAGCTTTTACGGTGGATCATCTACATAAGCCATGTGTTCATGCCTGAAAACGGATCACATTTCTGCATCAATCAAGTGAACGACCTTTTGAACGAATTCTCGAAAAGCCAATTTAGTGCCACCATGTACTATAATCATGTTCCCATTCGAGGTAGATTCAAGTGTGGAATACTCGTGGAGCTTCAAATATCCATTTCGTTTCATTAAGGGTCAACAAAGTCAATTCTCGTGAACATGCTACAAGGAAATCAACCATCTGTTTACAGCGCCGACTTAACCTGTAACTTTCATTTAACAGATTAAAAACGAAAACGAGTGCACAGCTCGATCGAGGAAGATGATAGATCAGCTTAGTACATACCACGGGAAAGTGATATCGCTTCAAGGTATGAGTTAATTCAAGTCCGTTTTCTCCTCCTGATCTTTCATGAAGGTTTAGAATGAACGTGCATCTTTTTCTCTCGGTAGAAGCGCTTTGTGACGTTTGACTAAAACAAACGTCAAAGAACTGTTAGAACCTGCAGCTATGCACCTGAAAACGATCAATAACTGTGATCGAGGCATCATGATCAGTTGTAGTCTTATACAATGTTTGGTTGGCATACAAACAGAAGAGAAGAACAAATTGGCACTCAACAACCAATATTTGAGCACTGTCATTGACGATCTCAAAAGTAAGTGGATCGGCACTGCAGGTCGGACGGTGTGAGCTTTTCGTTCTTTGAAGTTGCTTTTGATATTGCTGAGGTGAAAATTGAGTTGACCTTAGACCTTTTAAAACTCATTTTATGGAATTAGAAAATGATAGCTGCATAGGGTGCCCTAAACTCTAGATTAATCGGGCCCTTTTTTCAGGACACGAGAAAGTGGTGAAGCCGTCCCAGGATGACAACGGGGTACGTATGAAAATTCCTTGCGAAATTAATGATGTGTCGTCCTCAGGAAAGGAAAGAATATCGGAATTTCCAAATTTTTAAAGGGTCGAATCCTCAATTTTAAAAATCTGTACCAGTGGAACATGGTGAATAATTTGGGTTGCTTTGATCTTCAGGAATACATTGCAGCGGTTGTTATTATGGCCTGCAATCGCCCTGACTACCTGGAGAGAACGATAAAATCTGTCTTGAAGTAAGTGTTAAGTCTGGATCCGTGGCGACCTGCGTTGGACTCAAAACGGCTGTAGGTCCTGCTACTTAACACCTTACTTAATGAAGACCTTTGTGGCAGATGTTTAATTAGACAATTAAACACAACTTTTTTTTCCCCAAATTGTCCTTGTGAATGGGTTTTAACTTCTTGAGCCCAAATGGATGTACTTTCCCGTCTGCCAGGTATCACACTCCGGTTGCATCGAAGTTCCCTTTATTTATATCTCAGGTATTACGCTGTCTTCTGCCTCTTCTATCCTGAAGGTAGGTAGCTGAACATTGAAAGAGATTGATCGGCTGTAATTTCTACCAGTAAGGAGAAACATAAGTAGTTGACATCTGATGCCTTTTTGGTTCTTATTGTTTGTTTATTATTCTTTAAATCAGGATGGATCATTCATAGGGGTGGAAAATATGGCCAGAAATTACCCGGAGTTCCATTTCATGCAGGTAGCCTTTCACTTGCATGATTTTCTTTCCCTCGGATGTTAGAAAGGATGTTAATTATCGCTGATGAAGCAAGTTTCAGTAGTTGTCTATTTGATGTTCTTTTCGCGTTCTAGTCGTTCAGTTGTATATTCTCGAAAACCAAATCGTCTTTTATGGCATTGGGTCCTTCGTGAACTTTGGTCTCCTAACATTGTACCTTCTACCGTGAGCATGTGACGGTATACAATTCATACCAGTCATTTTTACAGGAGGCCTCTCTAAGCTCATCATAATTTCACCTGTACATAGTGCGATGAGAACCGATTGGCACATTTTGCCGGCGTAATATGAAAATGAAACAGAACGCAATAATAGCTCACGTTGACTTGGCCTGATATTATCCTTGCACGCTTGGTCGCAGCACTTGGACTTTGAACAACCCAAGACGGCCCATTCTGGAGAACTGATCGCCTACTATAAAATATCCAGTAATGTGTTCTCTTTGTCTTCTCTTCATGTTTTCAGTTTGCTTTTATCCATGTGAAAACTTTGTTCATATGGGAAATAGACTCCGTGAAGTAAGAAGGGAAGCATCAAACCGACAGTGATGCATGGTACTCTTCTGTCGAAAGTTCGTGAACTTCTACCAGCAAATGCGTTCTCGTAAACCAATGCTTTGCCCTGCACTTGCACTTAAAGGTGCCATTTATACTGTAAAGACCAGTTTCTAAAGACTACTGAGGTCAGTTTATAGCATTCCAGCTATAGTCTTGAGAATGCACCACATAAGTTGGAATTAGGATGAAAAGTGCACGGTGCAAAGTAAAAGGTTAATGGAAAATTGGGGGACGTGGATACTTCCTTTAAATATCATGAAACAACGACCTAAACAGTTCATGTATCTTATTATTTCTGGTTGTATATCAGGTCACTACAAATGGGCGCTGTCGCAGCTTTTCGGTACGAGGAAGTATCGTCGGGTCATTATTTTGGAAGGTATAGCGCTAATTCGTCAAGAGGACTCGCATATGAGCCTATTTCTCAGCTACTATATTTTCAGCTTATTTGTTGTAGCTTACAGTTGAAGACTATGAATGCGGAGATGCTTTCTCGATGGCCGAACAGTTTGCGAGCATGCAATTGAGATCAGGTTAGTAGCCCAGTGCTGTTGTGCTTTGCTGGATGGCTAACTCAAAGTCTCGAGTTTCTGCTTCACAGATGACATGGAGGTAGCCCCAGATTTCTTTGACTACTTTGAGGCCATGGCCGATCTGCTGGACCGGGACAGGTTTGTGAAAGTGCTCGCTCATATCCCTGTGAGATCAAGAATATCGTATACTGCGGGAGTACCTCGAGGACGATGTTCTGCAGTTCTTTGTCATTATAGTCATTTGGGCTAGGTTCTAACGGGGTTCTTTTATGTCAATCAGCTCCCTGCTGGCGGCTTCCTCTTGGAATGATAATGGTCAAAGGCAATTTGTTCATGACTCAGGTAAAGAGTCTCTGCTGAAACGACTTTGCAAATCTCCATGTCGATGTTTATACCGGAAGAGCTAGCTGCTTAATCCTGGATTACTCTGTATTTGCCTGTGGTTCAAGACTTCATCTTCCTCATCTGTATCCTTCTATGTTGTGACTTTGTGCAGAGCTCTTGTACCGTTCAGATTTTTTTCCTGGTCTTGGGTGGATGCTCAACAAGAACATTTGGGAAGAGCTCGCTCCTAAGTGGCCTGCTGCATATCCTTTTCACGAGGCTGCATGATTTGTTGTCAAAACTTGGATAGCTCGTATTTCAAGCAATGCTCTCTCGTCTATCAGGTTTTTTGAGATATTTTCTTAACTGATGCCACACATATTGGGATGATTGGTTGAGACTGGGCGCGAACCGAAAGGGACGGCATATTATTAGACCTGAAGTATGCAGGACCTATAATTTCGGCGAGCATGTGAGTTCTTTTTTGAATATAACGGTTAGATGCGGAAAGATGGATGTCCAGCTACATATGTTATCCGAAAATGATAGTATCTGCATTTTAGCCATAGGACCGTTTGAAGTGACTTCCTGTGAGAGTCTCTCGTACTTGAAAAGTTTGATGTAAGGTATGCATTTCTTGCAGGAAATGGTTGCTTTTCCTGTATGCAGTGACGTATGTCCTAACGTCTAAGGCTTCTTTATCTGTTTTCAGCCCTTATTATAACAACATGCTGCTGGTTGATTTAGGGCTCAAGTATGGGGCAGTTTTTCAAACAGTACCTCGAGCCAATCAAGCTGAACGATATGCCGGTACTTTCCTTGTTTCGTAGCGACATTCAAGAGTGGAAAGTTCATTGACGTATATGTGTAATCTGCCTAAAAATTCTTTCAGAAACTTTGATAAACTTGTGAAGATGGAATAATCTGCCTTGCTTCCTGCACCTTTCACCGTTTCAAATTCTACTTGCTGTTGTGAATCTTGTCAATAAGTTTTTTCTCACTCAGCTTTTTGGTTCGATTTACAGGTAAACTGGAAAGCAGCAAACCTTAGTTATCTGCTTGAGGTACACGTATTCTCCTTTGCTCACAAAGTCCGGACTTTACAAGTAGATCAGAGTGTGATGTTTGGCCTCAATTGGTTTCATTTAAGAAAACTACAGACTCTTCTGAGTCAATTGTTCAATCTTCGACAGCTGTGTTCAAATTTGCAAACGGGCCTATATGGCCACCTTCTATTAAGATTCTGACCTTTTTGAATCTCGGTACACCCAATAGCCCACTTACTCCGCAGAATTTGGAGCTGCTGTGGCCCGAGCGATGCCGGTATCTGCAGACAGGGCTTTGCAGGAAGCTTCGAAAGTGGATGGAGATGTTCGGATTGAGTACAGTAGTCAATCTGCGTTTGAGCATCTTGCTGCCCAATTTGGCGTATTTCGAGAGTGGAAGGTAGGACTCTGTTGTCTCCTCTAACTGTCTTACTAGCTCATGACAACAGATGCAGTACACAATGTTGTGTTGTGCATCTGTTCTCATGATGCGAGTAGTCAGATTTCACGTCAAGCGTCTGGGTTTGGAAACTTTACTTTTTTTTAAATACTGTTTGCTGTATTGAAATCTTGCAGGATGGCGTTCCGAGAACTGCATACAAAGGAGTAGTTGTTTTCCGATGGCAAGGTTCAAAGAGAGTGTTCTTTGTTAGCTCCGAATCTCCACTTATACAGGACCAATGATGGATTCGATCATCCTAATGTAGGAGTAGCAAGCTAGAATGCCAACATTGATTTTAGTTGTTGGCTCATGGATGGCCTATTTCGTATCATGATCACCTTTACCACATGTAACTATAAAATCAGTAAAATTCGAGTCTCCTCATACTAGTGTTTACTGCGCGACTTTTACGAAATCGTGGCTGGTATTGTGATACTGCAATGTCGTTTACTTTTCTAGAATCCGTGCTGAGAACGTTCTTTCAGTCCCTTTGTATCACTCCATTCTACCACCCTAATCCTTCAACAATTAATTATGGTTGTGTTTTTCACACTGTACCAAACGCAACTTCACCTTGGCAAAATACCTTGTTTATACCATTACCAGCTCCAGGTATCCCTTATGAAACAATGATTGTCATTTTCTCAGAAAAGCAGCTGATTGAGATCAGATTCTTTAGTGCTTATGTAACACGTTTGGAATGTCGTACACCTTAAAATAAGTCAACATATATTGACGCTGTTGGCACTCCTCTAAGTATGCAGCAGATTTTTGTTAAGAAGTGACTCATGTAGAATCACCATTCCACGTGATTGTCCATTACTCAGCGGTTCTACAGGCACGTCTCTCACGGCATTGCCAATCTACGACTTGGCCACAGTTGCCCGTGACTGCGGATTGCTGGCCGGTGCACGGCAAAGTCATCAAAATGATAATATTATGCACAGATATAAGCAACATGTACACCCAATTCCGGATCGCTACACAATTTATAAGATTAAATTGGGTAAGAGCAAGTTTAGACGAACAAGTTGAGCCCGTACATGGTAAATGGTAATTAGATCAAGCCCGTGGGACCCAAAGGGTCAAAAGGCTAAAAAACACAATACAAACAATCCAACTTCAAACTAGGAGAGAACCAAAAGAACCCCCTAGCTAGTGCCCAAAGCACTAGAACGGTAACTAATAATATCTCTAATGTAACAACCTAAATCATAAGGCTCGAGTTGAAGCAGAGAAAAGAAATTCTCGACATCAACTTTATGCGCTACTCGAATCTCTATATATCTAGTACAAGTAATAAACACATGCTCTTCATCCTCAACATTTCTCCCATCACATAGCCTACAAATCCGTTCACTCCTATCAATATTCAACCAACGTACTTCCTCAATTCCAAGCCTATGAGATCCTGTTCTATGCCTGGCAATAATATGACGTAAAGATGTAGCAATCTCTGCAACAAGGTACCCTTGCTCACAATAAATAAGCATAGAATTCACATGAAGTTGATAAAACTGCATTTTAGTGCCTACTCTCCTCCAAATGATGTTGAGAAACTCCTCCTTAATACGCTCGCGAAGGGCCATAGGTTGCAGATCCCAATCCAATTCCGTCACATTCCACCTCAAAGACCAAGTCATCACATCTGCAAACCATCCCTTGGAACGCGTGGCACGCAAAGCATGAAGAGGAAGTCGAGAAGCATCAAGAGATCTCACCCTTCTAATATAAGTGATGGTCAAGTAGAGAGCTTCAGCCTCAAGAGGTAGACAACCGGTTTCCGCAAGAAGAATAGCATAAGGAGTTTGGTTCCTTACACCTAACCCTTCTTGTAAGAAGATCTTTTGCACCCTCTCCACACGCTCCCAACTTGTCTTCTTATTGCCAGGACCCCACACTTGTGTTCCATATAGAACCACCGGCAACACTAAACTCCTAAATAAAAATTTCCTAAGACTCCAAGATACTAGATGAGCTCTTCTACATCGATTTAACAATGAATATAGAGTTTTGTAACCAGCTTCTACTCTCTTTTGTACACAAAGTGCCCAACTATAATTCTGAGAAAAATCAATGCCTAAATATTTGTAACTCTTCACTTGTTCCAATTCTAGTCCCTTGTAAAAGAGAGAGAACTTGGATCTAGCGCCCACAAGAATGATCTTTGATTTTTCCAGATTGAACTCCATCTGATTTCGAGTACAAAAGCTAGCCAAAGTATCAAGGTGTTTCTGTAAACTAATTGCATCACGTGCTAGTAATATGATATCATCTGCATACAAAAGAGCTTTGATCACAAAGTCTCCAAGTTTGACTCCTTCACTCTCACAATCATCCAACCACCTTTCTATATCATCTATGAATATTCCGAATAGAGTAGGAGAGAGAGGACAATCTTGAATAACTCCAATGGTGCTCGAGATCTCTTGAGGCTGAGAGGCATCAATCTTAGCTCGAACTGAAGTGTATAAAGTGGCCACAGCTCCGAGTAGATTAGCCGGTACTCCAATGTCTTGTAGTCTTTCCCATAAAAGCTTTCGAGGAACAGTATCAAAAGCTTTCTTCAAATCGATGAAGGCACAAAATAAAGCTTTCCCATTGCCCTTGGATTTCTCCCATAAAACACGTAAGGTCAAAATATGGTCAATAGTGTTGTATGTAGGACGAAAACCGGCTTGGGCCTTTGCTCTCTTGTGAAAATCCTCTGTCCATGTGCTCAACTTCGATTCTACCAACTTCCCAAACAACTTGGCAAAAACACTACCAACCATGATGGTGCGATAGTTTGTCACCACGTCCTTCCTTCCTGATTTATGAATAGGAACAATCTTCCGCATGGACCAAGTTGATGGAAAACCATGAACCATAGCATCTTCCAAAAGCTTAGTGAGAACCGGTCCAATACAATCTCCTCCCCACTTGATAAGTTCAATGGACAAGCCATCTAAATCCTCACATTTGCCATTTGCTAATTTTCGGAGAATAGTTATCACCTCTCCTTCCGAAAATAATCCAGGTGTTGCTTCGCAATATGGCATAGATGTGGCTTCTGGAAAGAAATAGAGCTTTTCGGCAAAAGCTACCAAAGACTCGGAATCAAGAGAAGGTTTTGACGATGGTGTAGCTAATCGTTTCCAAAAGGACTTGGGATCCTTCATCAGGTCCTTTGTCAAGGATTCTTGCTTTCGTCTTAAGAAAGCTCGTTTCTTAGACTTCACCAAGTCTTTGTATATCCTTGTCAAAAGAAGCCGACTTTGAATATCCAAAGACCTATCAACAGACCTTGCCCTTGCTAGCTTGCATTCGGAGTCAAACCATCCATTGCAAGGTAGCCCCTTAGCAATCCTAGTACTATGTCTCAAAAAGAACTTCGATGCAGAAGTTTTGAGCAATTCTATGAGCTGTAAACTAGCGGTATGCGAATCTGGACTCCATATGGTGTGAGTCAAAAGATCTTGTAGATGTTCTGCATAAAGGTCTCTTTTACAAGGATCTAAGCGAAACTTGGGAGAAGCTAAAAGAGATTGGCAAGGTGAAGTAGAGATTGATTTTGACATTGAAAGTGTGAACAAAAGAGGTGCATGATCTGATTCAGGTTGAGGATCCAAAACATCAAAATTGGAGATCAGAAAGGTACTAACCAAGGAAGACAAGAGAAAATCTATTGTGCTAGCACCGGTAGGGAAAAAACAAGTATTGGACTGAGAGTTGGGAAAGCGAGAGGTTCCATTGAGAACCTTCAAGTTACAAGTGTCTCCAAATGTCAAAAAGTGCTCTCTCAAAGAGTTTGTGGAAGGATCAAAAGAGGTTCTAGACCACAAACTATCGTAAATTTCTTCAAACATAGAAGAAGCCAAGGGATCACTAAATTGAGTAAATTGAGCACAACGTATACGAGCATTGAAATCTCCAGCAAGAAAGACATCCCCTTTACTTTGGAATCTAAGAACATCTTCAATAAGCCGATGGAATGGTTCACTTCGGTTGCAAAAGCGTGTTGAGTAGATACCCATGGACAATGGTGCAAAATAACAAATTGCCAAATAACAATAAGATCCTCCAACCACCCCGAGACGTAGCCAATGATACTGTCCACCAACATCTTGAGCTTCTAGATGTATGAGAGGTAGAAGATGAGACCTGATGAAAGTAGCAATACCTCCTTGACCCCTTCCCGCATGTTGTCTTCTCTGGTTCCATGTCGACCCCACCAAGGTAAACCCTTCCAACTCAGCAATAGTATTGCTTTCATGTTCCCAAGTCTCCACAATGTTGATGACGTCAGCCATCTTCCAAATCGGAGCAGCACTCACATACTTTGTTGTTGAAAGTCCTCGGATATTCCACACCAACACCCTTATCTTCTCGGATTGCTATGTTGACGACACCTTCCTCCTCTGAGTAACGATTGCTCTCCCATCGTGTAAATAAGCAACAAAACCCGATTCTTGAACCTCTTTTACCTTCGCAAGCTCCTTTCTCCTAACTTCCACTTGTAGAGTAGTCAGATCAGGATCCAACCATATTCTACGTCCCTTTAACATAGCCTTATTAGCCAAGGCAACATCACGTTGAGTTTGATTGACAAACTTCACTATAATACCACGAGGTTGAGCTCCCTTGTTTCCAATACGAAAAGCTTGAGCGAATTCCGCATTGGAAACCTGAAGTGTTTCATCCAAAAACTTGGTGACAACACTCTTGACATCTTCATTCTCTATTTCAGGTAAACCTGAAATTCTCACATTCTTCCTACGTGCAAGCTGGTTGGACTTTTCAATCTCTTGTTCTTGACAAAAAGAGATTTGAGCAGCCTTTGTAGCTTCAGCGTAGGATTTGATCTTCAAATCTAAGCTTTCGACCACCTCATGCAATCTAGGACTATCCGCACTTGTCATCTGAGAGCATACCTTCCCTTGGATGTCATCCACAGATTTAGATACATCCCACATCACAAACACACTATCCTTGAACACATTCTCCACGTTTTTCTGTGATTCCTTCAACTCTCGAATTTGATTATGTGCGAGAGTTAAAGCAGCCTGTTGCATCTTGAATTCATGTCGAAGTTCCTTCAATTCTTCAAAAATTTTTTGCAGAAGCTGAAAAATATCGTCTTGAGAAGCCATATCGTATCAACTTCCGTATCAACCGAAACACTCTAAATTCTAGGTCGAAACACCAAAAAATATCGTAACTTCTCATTCAAGCGTCCATGCACCTTCAAACTTGATGAGCTTCTGCCGAATATTAATCCCCAAGTCCTCAAAAATTTTCAGCCTCAGATCATGCTTTGTCAAAAAGATAAAAATGTCTGAACATTTTTGTGACCACCTAAACACTCGAGATAAAAAGTCAAAACTCAAAATGGGCTGTAACTTCTGACTCAAGCGTCCGTTCAACTTCAAACTTTTTATGCTACTGCCGAATATTGATCTCCAAGTCCTCAAAAATTTTCAGCGTCAGATCATGCTTCGTCGAAAAGATAAAAATGTCTCAACATTTTTGTGACCCCCGGAACACTCGAAACAAAAAGTCGAAACTCTAAATGGGCTGTTACTTCTGCCTTAAGCGTCCGTTCACCTTCAAACTTTTTATGCTACTGCCGAATATTGATCTCCAAGTCCCCAAAAATTTTCAGCCTCAGATCATGCTTCGTCAAAAAGATAAAAATGTCTGAACATTTTTGTGACCACCGGATCACTCGAAACAAAAAGTCGAAACTCCAAATGGGCTGTAACTTCTGACTCAAGCGTCCGTTCACCTTCAAACTTTTTATGCTACTGCCGAATATTATTCTCCAAGTCTCCAAAAATTTTCAGCCTCAGATCATACTTCGCCAAAATACAGATCTTCGGTGCACTTGAGCTATATCAGTAAGTTATTAGGACTGAGTAGAAACGTGGATTCGTCGTAGACTATCATGCGTTCAATTCGTACATTCTGGTCATCTCCTATCATGCAAGTTTTGAAAATTTTCTAAATTTCATAAACCATTCAAATCATGAAGAAATAGAAAAACATGTATGCGAGAACTGCTCAAGCCCTTGAATCTTGTGACATAGTTTACGGGTAGTGTCAGATCGAATAAAATTTTGATCATTACTTTCGAACTATCAAAGTAACTTAAGTACCCCTTGATTCTAAAGGACGTATAAGATGGTTACCTTATACATCCATTAGATGAGAGATGATATCTTATCATCTTTATTTGCACCGTTTATTAAAAGAATCTGCCATGTACGTACCTTTTCCCCTTTCTACTCTGCAGTGAATGAATAAGCTTTTGCCATCTTATTGCTCTCATCCCTTTCGAAAGTTTCCGGCTTTAGCTTCCATTGTCGTTTCTTTGCTTTTGAACACACACAAAGCAATAGACGTGTCCACGGTAGAACTTCATTGGGACAAGCCACTGCGTTGTGGGAAGAGTACTCGTCACATCTGATGTGAGTGTCTGTTTGACAATGCCTGTTAATTTGAAACTTTATATGTATAACGAGGCTGGGGGTTACCAGATATCGACAGCGACAGCGAAAGGTGCTTGATGGCTGAAGGGAAAAACTCCAAGGGAGGCCAAAACGCTTGTCAAGGCCAAGCCATGGCGCCGCTGCCGGGGATCGAACCCGGGTCACCCGCGTGACAGGCGGGAATACTTACCACTATACTACAACGACTTGATGGCCATAAGCGTATCCTCTGTACAATGATTTTGTATCAAATCAATTTTGTTAGTTCCTGGATGCAGATCGAATGAGAGCCACCCGCGTTGACAGGCAGGGCCATTCACCGTTACATTAAAAGCAGTTTATACCAAGAGAAAGATTATGAGAAAATTAGTTGATGTATCCTGATAGACGCAAAACACTTGCTACAAACTATTGTGGGAACGGATTAACATTGAATGGTCACCATCTACCCATAAAAACGCGTTGACGTGATTAGGTTAAATAGCTTGATAAACTGAATCTCATGTCTCTTAGATGGGGAAGCTTGTTTTAGATACGTTGCTGTATACGTAGATTTTGTTTCGGGAAGTTTTCGATTCTCAAGGAATTACAGTTGTGGGTCTTTTTTCTTAGTTCTGTAGATTTTGTTTAGTAAACTATTCGATTCAAAGAAATTGTACTTAGGGCTTTGATGAGTTTCAAAGTTCTGAATTCTCTTCATGAGAATTCCGGAAATTTCAGTACCTCTGTTCGATTGATAGGTACAGGTCGAATGCTGTGGGGTAAAATGAATTCTGTAAGTGTTTTGGTTTCTCGTATTGTTCATCAATTATGCCTTGTTTAGAAATATGTATCTGTCTTCAAAATTTAATTGTTAGATCTCAATAGAAAAACTCGTTATCTAACTAAAACCGAAGGACAGTATGATGTTCGTATGATTGCATTTGTTCCCCTGTATACCCTCTCACATGCGTGAAATAATCAGCTCATCAAAGGTGAAAATATAACTTATTCATAGACAGTTGCGAAGAGAACACTGATGGACATCAATTCTCACTCAGTCTCGGCGTCGACGTAGAAATCTCTAAAGCAAAGGTCCCTGGACTTCCAAAGGCAGAAAATTCATTCTCTGCGTTTGGAAGTCCAGAGACCTTTGCTCTGAATTTTCTGGGTTGCGAAATGAAGCTAATGCGTGTAGAACTACACATTTTCATGTTCACCCATCGAGCGTTGGTTTGCAGATTTAATTACATCCTCTGATGATCTGGAATTCATAAAGGTGAGGCGGCTTTTCGCTGATTTTAAGAGCAGGGATTCGTGCTCGTGAGCTTTGAGTGGACTAGTTTACGACTGCGTTCGATGTAGTTACAGACCCTCATTTCTAATTTGATGAATTTTTGCTTGATATGAAATCATCAGTTGTCGAGATCACAAGCATGATTCCTGAAATGATTGCTGGATTTCATGAGCTTGATTTGGAGGCAAGGCTGATCAGGCGAGTGTGTTAGAAGCTGACGGCACCGGATTCTTCAGCAGCACAACACTTTGCTCTGGAGCCTCTTGCCTTACACGTCTACCCCATACCATCCCATTCAATTCAATTCAATTCCTTCTTTCCTTGTTCTAGCTAGCCCGCGTTTATTTGATCTATCAAGCTTCTCAAGATGTTTGGCTGCGCATCGAATCTGTGGTTTGTTCATGCGGCGCTGACTGCAAGTGCGGCAGCGGCAACAGGTCAGCGAGTCAGCTTCTGCCGCTTCGAATGTTGGCAGAATGTGGAGTAAAGCTGTCGCTGAAGAGTCCGTTTTTACACAATCGTAGCCCACGTTCGCTTGAACTTTTCTTGAGAGGAAGAGTCTGAGAGCCATCCCAGTGTCCAATGTGTGAAGTATCGAAAACTGGGCAGACGTATGTTGAATCTTGTGATTCAGGCCCCCTAGAAATGGATGTTACCAGTTTAAGTTATGCATGAAATATAGACTGCAATGGAGCTCCGTTCCGAATTGATCTTTCGTGGAGTAGCATCTGAATTACATGATGGAGTGAATCGATTCTGATCTGCGGGTTCTGTTAATGAAGCTGTGGCTCCAGAAGGTCCGTGGACGACTTCGAGAGTTTGGAGATCAGAGGGTAAATTCTATTCCAATGTTTTCATCCACCACGTTCAAGTAGAGACGACCAATCCTTGTTCCAGACTCGAGCATCTCAGATGATCAACATTCCACCCATACAAGGCTCTTTGCTTGCTTTTCTTCCGATGCATTTTTTTTCTGTTAAGCTCTTGGTGATGTTCCAGCTTTGAGGGAGCCAACGAAGGATGCAAATGCGGTGACAGATGCTCATGCAGCCCTTGCAATTGCAGTTGAGAAAACATCAATTCTACAATCTTCAGAGCTCCACCTGGCGGACGATAATTGAAGACAAGAGGAAGTGTTATCTTGCAAGTCGAAACTTGAACAGATAACAGTGATTTATTGCATATCTTATTTATCACCTATCTAAACCCTAAAAATTATAGACATTGTAATCTGACCAAATGGTGCACCAACCTAACTGTTGAAGGATAAAATTACAACAATATTATCACATCTGCAAAGCAAGGCTGCCAAACCACAAAACAGTTCAAACATGAAGTTACTTAAATTCCATCACAGTGTACCCATCATCCTACACGATGATAAGCATCGTGTAAGATGCTTATCATCGTTTTGGCTTATGATCATCTTATTTTCTCCACCGCCGATGTACGTGAACGCTATTGGAGCGTCCACAAACTTTTCCATCGGTAGTTTCTCATCATCTGCAGGAAAGCAGTCAAAACCCTTCAGGACCTCTAATCACACCTCTAATCAGACAATTGCATTTTCAGAGAAGGGATAATCTTCACGACCTTACTGTGAATGACATTATACCTTGCATTATACCTTACTTCAGATCGAGCTGATTCTGCGTATGATCAAGGAAGTAGTGCAGAGTGCGCTATCACTTACTAGCAAAGATTCCTCGTCTCGTTACAGCAAACTTTCTCAGATTTTACGGTGCTTCAGGATCAGCTGTCATTAGACACAGTTTCATGGAACCGAAGCCACCACGTGGTAATACATCTGCTTGTGTCAACTGCAAAGTATTTTATTCCGACATTCACATTCAAGGGTGATTCTGCTTAAAACTTTCAGATATGAATTGTGTAATGCGCAAGTCATGAACGGTGAATTCGTGTCCAGGAGTGTACTAGCTGGAAAAAGACTTCTCACCTGTCACATGTTGACACTGAATTTCCTTTACCGTCAAAAGTTAGTCCGTTTCATCACTTTGCCGTTTTTGTCCTTATAAACAATCAAGCCACCAGACTGCACCTGCTGAGTGCCACTTAGCCTGTAGTAAGTGGTCTTGATCGTCTTGCCTCCATAGCTGTTAGAAGATTCTATTTCTTCGACTCTCGTGCTCACTCCATTTGGATCAGTTGGGCCGTCTTGGCCAAGGGTGGTTGAATTGCTGCGATCTGAGTGCTTGTACCGATCGTCGCGAGAAGTAGACATGGTGTCGGATATGCTTGCTCCTGCAGCAACAAGAAGATAGTAGAGTCGCGATTGTGAACTTGCAATGCGCCTCGGATCACTCCAAAAAAATTCCTCCAGGTAGCCTGCAGTGAAGCCTGTTCCTCCACTGCTTGCTCCACCGGCTGGAGCGCAATGTTCCAAGAGTTTCCAAGGTCTCCAGATGGGAATTCAAACTGTGAAGTGATAATCCAAAGTGCCGCATTTATGGAACCATTAGCACAGCTCTTCTTGGTCTTCCGTCAACTCTTTCAACGCCGGACCGTCAAAGTCCAACTTACTCGTTTTCCACTGCTATCCGCCAGCCAGAAGAGGAAGGGTAGTAGCGTGAGACCCAAGCTAAAAGGCACGAGGGGCAACTTATATACCGATTTTCATCAGCTCATTACATATTCGCCTTCTCCCTACTGGATAAACCTCGAACTGCCAATCTCCTGATGGTGTACACAATCGTACACCATCACACACACACAATGTACGATTGTGTACAATGTGTACAATGTGTACTTTGAAGTGACTGGAGTTTGGCCCCTAGTCACAGACGTTCGTGAATGGGTCGGTTCAGCCATACCGGAAGTGGTGGCGGTGGATGCAGTTTTGCAACATCGAAAAAGACTACATCTACTAGCTTTGAGTGGACTAGTTAACGACTGCGTTCGATGCAGTTACAGACCCTCATTTCTAATTTGATGAATTATTGCTTGATATGCAATCATCAGTTGTCGAGATCACAAGCATGACCCTGATTGCTGATTGCTGAAATGATGGCTGGATTTCATGAGCTTGATTTGGAGGCAAGGCTGATCAGGCGAGTGTATTAGAAGCTGATGGCACCGGATTCTTCAGCAGCACAACAATTTGCTCCGGAGCCTCTTGCCTTACCCATCTACCCCATACCATCCCATTCGATTCAATTCAATTCCTTCTTTCCTTGTTCTAGCTAGCCCGCGTTTATTTGATCTATCAAGCTTCTCAAGATGTCTGGCTGCGCATCGAAACTGTGGTTTGCTCATGCGGCGCTGCCTGCAAGTGCGGCAGCGGCAACAGGTCAGCGAGTCAGCTTCTGCCGCTTCGAATGCTGGCAGAATGTGGAGTAAAGCTGTCGCTGAAGAGTTCCTTCTTACACAATCGTAGCCCACGTTCGCTTGAACTATTCTTGAGAGGAAGAGTCTGAGAGCCATCCCAGTGTCCAATGTGTGAAGTATTGGAAACTGGGCAGACGTATGTTGAATCTTGTGATTCAGGTTCAGGCCCGCTAGAAATGGATGTTACCAGTTTAAGTTCTGCATGAAATTTAGACTGCAATGGAGCTCGTTCTGAATTGATCTTTCATGGAGTAGCATCTGAATTACATGATGGAGTGAATCGACTCTGATCTGCGGGTTATGTTAATGAAGCTGCGGCTCCAGAAGGTCCGTGGACTACTTCGAGAGTTTGAAGATGAGAGGGTAAATTCTATTCTAATGTTATCATCCACCACGTTCAAGTAGAGACGACCAATCCTTGTTCCAGACTCGAGCATCTCAGATGATCAACATTCCACCCATACAAGGCTCTTTGCTTGCTTTTCTTCCGATGCATTTTTTTTTCTGTCAAGCTTTTGGTGATGTTCCAGCTTTGAGGGAGCCAACGAAGGATGCAAATGCGGTGACAAATGCTCATGCAGCCCTTGCAATTGCAGTTGAGAATACATCAATTCTACAATCTTCAGAGCTCCAACTGGCGGACGATTCTTGATAATTGAAGACAAGAGGAAGTGTTATCTGCAAGTCGAAACTTGCACAGATAACAGTGATTTATTGCATACCTTATTTATCACCTATCTAAACCCTAAAAATTATAGACGTAGCAATCTGACCAAATGGTGCACCAACGTAATTGTTGATGGATTGAATTACAACAATATTATCACATCTGCAAAGCAAGGCTGCCAAACCACAAAACAGTTCAAACATGAAGTTACGTAAACTTCCATCACAGTGTACCCATCATCCTACACGATGATAAGCAGGCCGTGGTTTTGGCTTATGATCATCTTCTTTTCTCCACCGCCGATGTACGTGAACGCTATTGGAGCGATCACAAACTTTTCCATCGGTAGTTTCTCATCGTCTGCAGGAAAGCACTCAAAACCCTTCAGGACCTCTAATCACACAGACAATTGCATTTTCAGAGAAGGGATAATCTTCACGACCTTACTGTGAATGACATTATACCTTGCATTATACCTTACTTCAGATCGAGCTGATTCTGCGTATGATCAAGGAAGTAGTGCAGAGTGCGCTATCACTTACTAGCAAAGATTCCTCGTTTCGTTACAGCAAACTTTCTCAGATTTTACGGTGCTTCAGGATCAGCTGTCATTAGACACAGTTTCATGGAACCGAAGCCACCACGTAGTAATACATCTGCTTGTGTCAACTGCAAAGATTTTATTCCGACATTCACATTCAAGAGTGATTCTGCTTAAAACTTTCAGATATGAATTGTGTAATGCGCAAGTCATGAACGGTGAATTCGTGTCCAGGAGTGTACTAGCTGGAAAAAGACTTCTCACCTGTCACATGTTGACACTGAATTTCCGTTACCGTCAAAAGTTAGTCCGTTCTATCAATTTGCCGTTTTTGTCCTTAATTTCAATCACGCCACCAGACTGCACCCACAGACCGGCATTTTTCCTGTAGAAAGTGGTCGTGATCGTCATGCTTCCATCTTTGTTAATTTTTGTCTTTTGTTCCGTGCTCACTTCCTTTGGATCAGTTCCCCCGTCTTGGCCAAGGGTGGTTGAATTGCTGTCGTCTGAGTGCTTGTACCGATCGTCGCGAGAAGTAGACATGGTGTCGGAAATGCTTGCTCCTGCAGCAACAAGATAGTAGAGTCGCGATTGTCGGGATTGTGAACTTGCAACGCGCCTCGGATCACTCCAAAAAAAATCTTGCAGTAAAGCCTGTTCCTCCACTGCTTGCACCACCGGCTGGAGCGCAATGTTCCAAGAGTTTCCAAGGTCTCCAGATGGGAATTCAAACTGTGAAGTGATAATCCAAAGTGCCGCATTTATGGAACCATTAGCACAGCTCTTCTTGGTCTTCCGTCAACTCTTTAGACGCCGGACCTTCAAAGTCCAACTTACTCGTTTTCCACTGCTATCTGCTAGCCAGAAGAGGAAGGGTAGTAGCGTGAGACCCAAGCTAAAAGGTGCCAGGGGCAACTTTTTAATCGTTACATAAAATTACATATTCCCCTTCTCCCCCTGTCTCCCTACTGGATAAACCTCGAACTGCCAATCTCCCTCTCCTGAAGTTGGTGCCTGGAAAGAGGAATTTGGAGGAGGTGGATGCAGTTTTCCAAAATTCGACAGAATCTTTCCAGTGGTGGTGAAGGTTTGGACTGGAGTGAGTTGCAATCAAGTGAGTCCAAGTTGGGTGCCTGGAAAGAGGAATTTGGAGGAGGACACCAGCGAGTCACGCATCTGATGAGGGGTGTTGACTATAGGTGTGTATGTACAATTGTGGTGTTATACCACGGGTATGACACCGTTGTATTATACAACACTCCCACACCATACCTTGTATGATTATATAATAAAATGTATCTAAGAGTCCGAACAATAACACTTGTGCGGACTTATAGATTCTACTCGAAATGGTAAAATCAAAAGATGTTAATTGGGAGAAGTTTTTAGAGGATGATTATAAGTCAAAGTATTGTTGAATTATGGATCTTATATGATGATCATCACTATGTCCCCTATTTGCATTGGCAAGCCGGGTGAACGCAATCACAAGGGAACCAAACTCGTTCTCACTCACAAGCTCGGTTGGGCAAGACCAGTACCCCTATTTCGATCAATTTGAAACAGCTCCATCCTCAAATCGCTACAACAACAAGGTATACAAAGTTCTGCAACAACTCTTCCCTCATAGCGGATGTGAAGCTCAAGAGTATCCTGTAGACTAGACCGTGTAAAATCTGGCGTTATATTTTCAGACGCTAATATTGCCAAAATTAATCAGGCCAGAATTCAAAAACACAAAGAGGACGGGTATAGGGAATTCTAGCGCACGCAAGGGGAAGGCAGAAAGGATTAATTTAGGATAGCAATGCATGATGATCTCGAGACAACCCGTGAGTGCATTTGCTCGTGACCTCTGGATCTTGAATACTCCGTGTGCTTCTAGATGTCCAAATTTTTGGTCGTTAGAAGTTAGCAGGAGAGCAACTTGCGCGCTAAAGGTTATCCAAAATTTTGGTAGTTGGAAGTTAATAGGAGAGCAAGTTGTAAACAAAAGAGAAAAAGACAATTCGTTTACATTTCATTTTATTTTTTCACTTTACTACTTTCATATTATTTTTGTAAACTATTTGTTTTGATCATTGTGAATTTCTTGTTCGCTGCAACAAAAAGAATCAAGTACATTTCATATTTTTCTTTAACTTGTTTCAACTATGCATAGAATTGTTTGAATGAGCGCTTTATGCACCTGCGATAGTTGTGAGGTGGACTGGCGACACCGTTTGCAAATACAAAGTCGGTTGAAAACAACTTCTCCATCATAAAAATGGGAGAAAGATGACTCTTGTAACACCCTGACGAGTCTTTCCTTGGTGGGTATTATGCATGCAAAAAATTTTGAAACGCTGAAAACAGTTATCCCAAGACCTCGGAGGAAAAGTAGTGAAATTATAATGTAAATGCTAAAAATAAGTAGAAAAATTTGCGAGAATTATCTTAACCTGCGTGTAACATCTTCACTTTTCCCTAAACATCAAATCTGAAGAGATTCGAAGTTGCCAATGGGATGAATATACTGAACACCATCCGTTTTTGTGAACCAACGACGTACAGATACTCGGTATTGATAACCTCATTATGGGGTCTTGTCACATCGCTCATGACTGCAAGGTTGGAAATCGTAATGTACTTGCAAATGGCACACTTCTAGGTGGTCATCTTAAGCTAGCAATTGCCAAATTTTACACGGTCTCCCATGAACGAGGACCCTGGTGGTGGTAACATTGATGAATTTGATCTCCTTGATATATCCAAGGGCGTAAAAGGTATGCATGACCGAGGATACGTTAGAGAGGAGGCGATGGAAGAAGGTAACATCTAGGAATGAAGTGGAATTCTAAATGTCACATAATACATCTGGTATTAGAGGGTATTATACTTCGCAATCCGCGAAGAATCCAAGTATACGGACCCATAGTGATGACATTGTAGCACAATCCGTACCTCCAGTGGAGACCAGCAAGTAGAGATCAGAGGAAGATGGACGGTAAATGTACTGCACTAAGCTCTCGTCCGCTGTATTCACACTCGGTACATGCACTTGGCCATCATTCCAGCCTTAGGCCCCCTCTTCTCCGTGGTTTCCTCCACACGATGTTGGTGAAGTCACTAAAGTCAACTCAACACAGCACAACAGGAGATCGGGATCGTTCTGCGGGAGCGAGGAAGGGGCCAGACGACCGACCAGAAACGGGGCAGCGATTCCGACGTCCCTTCGAAATCTGTGCATGCGAATCATGCTCCGGCGGCCGGCATTAGGATGACACGAGTCCAGACAGGTTTCCGAAAGAAACCTGTGGGATGTGCATTGCAACGAAGACAGGTTTTCGAAAGCCACGAAGAGCCACGAAATTCCATGGCCACTCGGTTTCGTCCTTGTTTCCTTCATATGGCACACGGCTCCAACTTGAGTGCGTATCGAAAGTCGTCGAAATCGAACTCTGATTTCGATCCCATTGGTGTACACAATGTACATGAATTAATGAATGAATTAATTATTTATATATCTTAACATCACTGTACAAGTTTGATCCATTAGTACTAGACGATGTTTGTCCTATCCAGAGTATTATGGAAGTTCTAGAAGCTGCAATTATAAAAAAAAGCAGTATTCCTCGTAGCTCTGAATAACAACACAAGTGAGAGATCCGATTTCTCTATCTAGCATCTTTCACATCCTGACTTTTAGACCCATATAAAATTTCAGATAAAGTGCTCAGTCACCTTCCATTTCACAGTACAGTAGCCTGGATGAGGAAATGTGATTGGTAAGTCAACGAACACAAAGTATGATAAACAGACTTCTTCGACCAAGATAGCTCATATACTTCATTTTTTCATTATTCTTTTCTGTTCCTCATGTTTGAAATTTGCATCAAAATTATCGAAGTTTTTTTAAGCTCAAATGCTTGCACACAAATCTTAAATGGCTTGTTTCCCCACCTAGTACCGGGCAAGGTAAAAGTTTACCAGGTAATGCATGGATCTTTACGTTACCTGCACCACTACTAACTATTTTTACCTTTACCTAATGGTAGTTTAGCCGGTATACATTCTACATGTGTATCACTATTATGATTTTAGTCGAATCACAACTGTGATTTTAGTCAAATCCGAAGTCGTGTTCGGCGTCAAAGAGAATCTTGGAGAGTGGAACATGACATTGACACTATCTTTGAGTATCTCTTCATTCTAGCCGCCTTGCTCCTCTCCAAGCTATTGGACGATTGACTTCAAATTTTTTTCATCGCCTTCAGCTAGGACCTTTGTGGCTGCCGTGATCTGATGCACCGGCACTTTGAGTATACCCGCATTCATCCACGACCAGAATCACATGACCATGATGAATACCAACGATGAAAAGTATTGCCACGTTTACGGGAATTCACGATCGGAAGTCTGCCACTGACTACGCAGTCGCGCCATGAACTTCGTGGCGGATTTTTGCAATAGTCATGGGTTACCAGTATTTACCGGGTAATTCATTCAGTTTTAACTTTATTCTATCCATCATCTTACCTATCGTCTAGTCTTTACATTTTACATCTACCTTTTACCAATTGACCAAAGAGTGGCAAAAGATTACCTTACTGACAACAACTTCATGACTTTATAGTTTCTACTTGTGTAGCAATCTTTTATTCTATACTCTTACTTTTATTAGGAAGGAAGGCCATTTCTTGCTATTCTTTTTGAATCTAGTTGCAAAAATAACTATTTTTTTATCTACATAATCTCATGATACTTGTTCATCATGAAGAGAATCAAGTAATAAATTGTGAATCTCTTCCAAGTAAGATAAACTAGGGAAGCAATGGGCAATTATAAAATGAGTAGGTATTATCAAACCTGATCTTCATATTCAAGTGAAACAGAAATGCAATTTTGCATCGTGATTAGTAACATTTAAAATTTCTACAAACTTTTGGGCTTACATTTTTGCCCACCTTACTCTAGTATATGCAAATGTCCAATTTTGCTTACAGATTTTAACTCGTACCAAGTATCATGTGCATAAGTATTATCTTCTAACAACTCCGGTTTGACATTGTTGAGTGTACACTTCATAAAACTCAAATTGACAAGATTATTGCGCTGAAATATGTCATCATCAAAAAATTTCTCAATTATTTCAAGAGTAAAACAACAATTCAATAATACTTTTAGTAACCATAGAGTTGAAGAATTTTCTCATTGTTCTTGATCATCTCTTGTAGTTGAGTTTGTTCAGCTTCTCAATTTCAACAATGTACTTCCTTGATATGGTCTCTTAATCTTTTGAGCAATTCTGTGAAGCTTTAATCCATAGATTGTGGTGTTATATGATGTTTCTACAATAGCAAGTGTTGAGGAAGTCCTAGAATCTACCATTGGAAACAAATAAACTACAAATTTTACGCTGTAAAACAACAACAGTGAGATTCTAACTCTATCTAGCATGCTTAAAAATCTGAAATTTGTGATTACAAATTTGATTTTCTTCCCAGATTTCACGGAGAATACTTCCAGTGAAACACAGATTTTTAACAAAAAAAATCTATGTTTGTGTCAATGAGAGTTATAACGTGTTCACTTGTATGATCACATAGAGAAAATTACTTCATTAAATCCCTTCTAAATGCAAAGCACTTGTTGAAATCCAACACAATGCCTTTTATCCGATGATATACGGACGACCTTAAACCCACCTGCATTCATGTTCCTATGCAAGTTCTTCTAATTGTGTGTGAGTTCAAAAGTGTGGTTCATAGTGTGAACAAAATTATAATTTTAGCCAGAATGTTAGAAAATTATCACTCCGTCAATGAGATTTGTAGCATTGGAATGTGGTGAGTTGATAATTCTAGTTTAGCGTAATAAATCCCTTATACGTTCTCGCAATATTGCATAAATCCAGAGGTTAAAGTCTGCAAATATCACTTCTGACATCTCGAATTGTATCGTACAATCTTCTAGTTCAAAATTGTACTTTTTCCAATTCATTGTATCATGATGTATGGTTGAATGCGAAAATCCATTTCAAGCAGGCTGACAAAATCTGCTTGAATGATGGATTCTTAGGCAAAGCAATTACAATAACTTGCATTGGAACATAGTTGACGGTGGGCTAGAATGACAAAGTATACCATTGTGTTGAATCTCAATAATTAATTTGCGTTACACAATATATCATCAAGAAATTTTTTCTCACACATTTTAATTTTGTATTACTAACTAGTTTACTTAGGTTTTGTTAACTCAACCTTAGTAAATTCTCCATAATTTTCACTTTGATTCATATCTTGGCATTTGTAACGTGTATAGTTTATGTAAGATAATTGGCAAGTCTCAAAAATATATATTATAGTAATCTAGAGTTAACTAAAATGTAGTAGATTGTATTTGTGTTTTTTATGCAAAATGCACATGATAGTTCAAACGTTGTTTACAACTCTTCAAATAATGTATTTTTTCAATATATTGAATAGATTAAATTTATCTACAATCTTAACTAGCTCAACATTCTTATAAGAAGTTGTATGTTAGATAAAATGCCATATGGTATTGATAGATTTATCTGCAATTCGAATTCAAGACTAAAAGTAAAAAATTCGAGAAATTTAATCTCGAATTTGATGTGACTAACTCAATTTTATTTACAACTATTCTTTGAAAATATGTTTACTTCTTGATCGATCATGTACATCTGCTAGTAAGTAATACTCAAATTTGATGAAAAAGATTTTGTTCATATAGCCATGATGGGAAGTATTTAGATCATTATCCCCTACTCTTTGTTGTGACTAGGAGATTTGTCTTCTTCACGCAAAACTGACTTGTTGAGTGAATGAGGGCCTAAAGCTCGATAACGAGATATTATTATATTTCCTCGTTATACTTCTAGTTTGAAGATTCTCGTTTCATTACAGAATATCGAGAACACTTTGTCCATGGTACTATTCGGACAATAGAAACGTTCGCCACTTATAAACATCACATACTGTTCAATAATATAGCTCTTACCAGTGTCAAGTTAAAGGAAAAAGGTCCGGACGCCTTCAAATAGATTCATAAATTAAGAATCTGGATACTCAATGTTTAATAACTTTGACTTTCGTTCGCCTGAGGACAATCTAAGCCCCAGGATTCATCTGGTCGCGCAAGCCAAAAACACGAGGCATAGTAGACAACAACAGGTGCTGACTTCAAATTGAAGATATAAGTCCGGTTCTTCAGAGAGCTCTGGAATAGTAATGCGAGAAAGAAACTTGGAAGACAACAAATAGTGGCTAAGCCTGGTATAATTTATCCTCCATTGCAGTTCCTTCGAATTGCCTCATCGTCCAACTACTTAACTGGAATTCTGCTGTAGCTGTTCAATACATTCCCAGATGCCTAACATAATGAGCTCATGCTCAGTTCTTCAAAATTGTACACCTCGGCCATGATACAGATGACACACGCGTTCCACAGTTCTCAAGTCTCAAGGTAGGAAATTCTCACAAAGCATAGGCAAGTGCAGTTTACTAAGCCCTTCCAAGAGGAGGGTGAGAAACACTTTGGCGTGAGTTGCGATCGACGGCAATGACTTCATGGGTCAAAGCTCAAGACCTTTGAGACCAAACAGTGATTGAACATCTCTATTATCGTGTCCTTGTTAAGATTTTTTCCTGCGGCCACGCACAAAATCCCCTTCATAGTGAGTCCATATATGCGGCACAGAAGTTCATGAAGAGAAGGTTACGGCTGTAAACATACTACGTGGCCAGGCAAAGAAAGCGTTCCCCATTTTACCTATAAGCACAACGTGGTTGATACGCTTGTCACCTTCTCTCCATTTTCTGGTTGGAACAATCTCATAAAGGTCGCGCACAGCCTGTGATGCAAGGCACGTTAACATAAACACAACGTTGTTAAAGACCTTCCTTCTCACAAGCGGAGCTTTCCAAGCTGGAGTTCAGTTTTAGGACTTGAGCTTGAAAAGATCGAGTGCCAAACAATCGAGTTTTTGCCTTTCTTCACAAAGTGAGAGCTTACAGTTACTTGACGTCGTATAATAACGAAAATTAACACCACTTCAGCACTACTTCAATCAACGAAGCAACTACAAGTGGGAAACACAGATCGCTCATCTACAGATTCGAGCAGTTATTCACGCATGTGTTCCCCCTCACCAAAGAAGACTTCTGAAAATCTCACCTGCAGCATGTGCATCTCACCACTGCCATGAATGTCTAAGACGCCCTTCATGCGATAGATTTCCATTTTATCGGAGGGTTCCCACAACAAGTTTCCAAGCCACTCATTCACCTGCATCTTATCAAGTTTAGATCTTGTGCCCTCGAACTTCACAAATTTGGACAAACTAACGTACCATGGAAACCACATCAAGTAACTGACAAGGCTTGGTTACAGAGAAAGCAAATCGTTTCTTATTCTACGCCATATACAGTTTATAATCATCATTCAATACTGTTATTTGTAAACAAGCAGAGGTTGGCTACAGCAAACAATACTGGAGTCTCACTTTTTCAAGGTCCACTGGACCATCCAGCTTAAAGCTGATGGTTTTGACAGCGCTGTCATGTACATTATCATCCACCGGTTTACTCAGCAGAGCCTCCAAGTCCACGGAATGCTGCCGTACACCATCACGCCAATCTCGTTACAATGGACACGCAAAAATCCCAAGAGAACCTTGAGACTCACTTTCTGATGAGACCTCAATATATTCTTTCCTGCTTGGATAGCATGCCATTGGATACATGATGATAATCAAGGGCAGTCCAGAACCAATCTGTAAGATTACCTTAATGCCATAGGCTTTGCAGTCGAGAACGTCATCGAGATCTACTCGACATCGCTCCGAGTGGACGATTTTGACCATCCCGTTGATGCTTTTGATTTCACGTTCAATCTTTTCTAAGGTGCTATGACCAGATTCATCTTTGACCAAATCTGTCTTGTTAAGGATCACCACATCCTGCTCTGGCACAGTCATAATGTTCAATCTTTTAGTAGTTTTGTGAGTGGCATCCAAAATTTTCACTTCCACAATCTCAAGTAGTCCTTAAACATATTGGACTGGCTGAGATGGCAAAGATGAGTACTCTGATCAGGAACCCACCGCATATGCTATTTGTAGGTAAGCCTCGGTGACACTCCCTGCCTCTCGTGGCTCATGCAGCTGTCGCAAGAAATTTCCTGCATCCACAACCTGAGAACCGACAGGAAATGTCATCTTCCCATAGCTTTGCCTGTCAAGACTTTCTGCAGTCTATTCCTAGTCACAGTCAAAGGAATTTACTCCAATCATCTCTTGCAAAGAATATCAAGTAGCGCGTTCAACTGAGAGGCACTTCAAATATTTTCCTGAATTCCTTTCGGTCCTTTGGTTCTCTCGGGAGAATTTGAGAACATTCATGCCCCTAGAAACTACAACAATGATTATTGACAGATGTGATAAACGGACTGAAGCTTGTAATGGGTCCAGACCCAGAAAATGTGGATGGAAAACGAACCGTGACGATGGAATCAAGGCGGACAGAAGCCTCGAGTTGGTCGTCGACCCAAAGAATTGAAGCAACGGGACCTGGATTAGCCAGTCCAGTGGTCTCCAGCAAAATGTAGTCAAATCTGCATGCAGCTTCCACTGACGTCAGATAACGAATTTCCCACTGACCATGTAGAGTTGCAAAACCCAGAATAAACAAGGAAGTAGCTCACCGTATCATGCCTGGCATTCTTAAACATGGAAAAACAACATATCGAAAAGGAAAACGTTAAACTTGTACGAGTGAAAAAAAGGAGAACCTCTCTCGCCGTTCCATCAACTGTTCGATGGCTTGCACAAAACTGTGTTTCACCGAGCAGCATACACATCCGTTGGGAAGGTCCACCCATTCCTCCACCAGTGATCCTTGCGCACCTTCGTTTATCATCGCCCTTTCAATCCCCAGCTCTTCACCAAACTCATTCAAAATCACAGCAATTCTCCTCCCATGCTGTTCTTTCAAAATGTAATTCACCAGCTGCAGCCAATTTCCAAAACGAAAATCTTCATGTGTATGCATACGTCGAGACCGTGAATCCACAATAAACAAAGGCTGTCCAAGGCCACAAGAGAAACTGTGAAAGATCAACAAACTCTGTAGAGAAGGAGACGAGAGTGGACCGTGGTTTTCCCGGATCCGAGATAGCCCGTTATCATTGTAATTCCGACCGCTTCTTGTTCTTCGTTGTCGAGCAAGGTTACTGATTTGTCAGTACTCGGAGCATTGGGTCCGGCTTTCGCAGAATCTTCCTCGCCATCGAATTTGTCCTCGGGAAATTCCAACTCATCTGGCAAGGCCACGGGCACGAGGGCAGGAATTTCTGGAGAAGAGGGCGACGAGAACGAGAGGGGGACTGCAGACGGAGCCTCGTCCATCATGCTAATGCTCAGCTGGACAGATTACAGCATCTCACTTTCAAATATGCTCGAGAAGATCTTTCATGGACTTTCAAGTGGCAATATTCTTCTAGAATACCAACACCGCCCACCTCCCTCCCACCTTCCAAACCCCGACCAGTCCAGTGCAGACCTGTGTGTACTCGACAATTCTGATTTCTCGTCCCGTTTCCCGTAAAATCTCTCGACAGATTCACAAGATCCTCCTACGTGCTTTGATAGATTGTGCCCAAATGCTTAAACCTAACTCGACGAGCTCACCATCTGCCCATCAGAGGATTTCGAGAAACTTCTAAATTTCAACAACAAGTAACGCATTTCATAAGAAACGTGCCATTTATGGAGCTTTAACCACTAACTCCTTTGTGTGGATCATGGACAACTCGGACTGCGAGGGAGTAGAGAGTGGAAAGTGTCGGCATTCCTGTGGGTGCTGCGGAAGTCATTCTGGCTACAAATAACTTTGACGATGACGAGAACATGGTCATGTTACTTCGCTGCTCCCTCAAATCGGATTTAGCAGTTGGGGGCTGTTTATGAACAGGTGTGTGCACCCTCAAGCATAGTCCGACTGAGGAATATATCAGCTGAAATTCCAGTCTTGGAATTTGATTCATGATATGATTGCACTTAATGACCTACGTAGGAACGACACGTGAACCCATTAAGAAATTGTGACCATAGAGAGTAGCTTGTGGTGCTCTTTTCTTCCTGACTAGATTCTGGATATTAGCTCCGTTCACTTTCAAAGGTGATGTGGATCTTGTCTTTCGTTTTAATTGAAGGCAACGACGATCATGTCTTACATGTGCTGTTTGGAACGATTTCCTCCTTGCAAATGATGGATAGGCAGGTAGATATGTGATGTCAAAGCATTTTGATATCCTTTCCAACATAGCCATGCACACAACTGCTTTGGACATGTGGCTTCTGTAGAAAGTTTCGTTCACATATAGTTGGCTGGTTTCCATATGAAAAGCATTCACGATTATTGCAAAATAGAGAGAGATTGTTTAACTAAAGTAACATGTTCCAAGGAATCCATCATTTCGATCATCATCTAAAAGACATGATCAGACAGGATCACTTAGTGTACAAGGACTCCTGAACCTGTTGGCAATCCCTCTCTAAACTGCAAGACACATCACGAATGTCTTCATTATTGTGCAACTTCCACGTATGAGTTCGTCTCTTCGTCGAATCTGTACCTGCTCAGAATTCAAAGGATTACAGATTAATCTCTTCGCGTGTGCTCCAATGTAACTAGAAATCAACGCAAGGAGAGCAGAGAATCCTAGTACGACACAATCACAACTAGAGTTGTTCTACATGAATAACCTGGAGGTGAAGCTTATTCATACCATAATCCTGTAGATGCGCTACAGTATAATCCAGAGTTTGCATCATAATAGTAACCCACATCGCTGTTGTAGTAGTAGCTGCATGAACATGGCCGATAAGCTGTAAGCAATCAACATCTACGAGATAAAGAAAACTCCTAGACAGATTGCGTTTATGACGTCCATACGACCATTTACGGAGAAGTGTTGTTGTAAGGGACTATTTCAATGTCTTTCAGAAATTGTAACCCAAACAAGTACAAAACTGAAGCCTGCCCTTATTAGTATGTCATTTTCTACACATGATTATCAACGTTGTATAACTCAATCCACCCTTGAAGCAGTTAGTCAAATGACACATGACAAGTGCCAGCAAAGTTATAATGGAGCCACCCTCTGTGTTATCAAAACCTGGATTCAATGGGATGTTAATGATTTCAAATTTAACCAGAAGCTTTCATATGCACTGTCATTTGAAAATGGGCGAATCGATGGAATGAACTCACCCTGATGCTTCATCATACACGTAACCAGAGCCATCCACTGGTGCTGACCCTGGACACACAGATTACAACCATGAACGACTGCTTAGATGGTTCTTGTGATTCTATGTCATCATGTGTAACTCACCGAAATTATACAACAGTGAGATTTAACATACCGTCAACCAGCTTCAAGCCGGAAAACATACAATGCTCATCATCTATGGAAGGTAGTACAAGATGATAAGGAACATAAGTGCGCATGACTACCTTCACTGCCATGTGTTACACCTTGCTGTGCAGCGTTCCCATTTTCACTCCTTTCCTCTTCATCATCATCTCCAAACATATCGTGCCCTTTCCCGTTCACCTCTACTGTTCCAGCTGTTGGCAATCCTTTGCTCTGGCTTGGAGCTCCTGCTTGTTCCAGAACTTCATCATCGTCTCCAAACATATCACCTGCACTTCCTGCTTGGCTACTCTCAACACTCGTGATCCCAGCCCTCAACCGGGCAAGAGCGGCATATCCTTCTACACAACCGGCAAAAAACAACGTAATTACATTGTATCCATACAAACCAACGTTTATATAAAGTCTTCGAACAGATCACCGTTTGGCAAACTGTAGGCATATCACCTCCCTCATCAGCTATGATTGAGCTTCATAGAGCACAAGGGTTAAACTGATCTGAGTTTCTATGCCAAGGAAGCAAAGACAAGGGATGCAAGTCATACCTGCTTCACGTTGGAAGGTTTCTCTCTTCTCCTCATAAACATCTGCAGAGAAACATCTTCAGTATACATCCCTAATTTTCGAATTTGCCCTTTCATAAAATGAACATCAAATATTCAAAACTTAAGCTGTTACTCAACTGTAGTCGCCATCTTCCAACAATTTCACAGCATCCTCTGTGAGTTGGTCAAATATAGCCTTATTAGCTTCTGACATTCGCTCACGTTTATTGCCATCCTTTGGGGTGCCTTTCAACCTTCTCAAAGCTCTCAGAACCTGCTTAAGCCCATACAAAGGTCGATTAGAAATGTATATCAATTACAAGAACATTCATACATCCAATACGAGATTCGTTACAAGAGAAAGATCGTTAGAAGTCATCAGACCAAACACAAAATGAAACCTTCCCTAACCTGTAGACACATCATTGGCATTCTCTTCGAAATATACTACTTACTCACCGTTTCTCCTGGTTGAAGAGCATCAGCTATGCGCCGCTTTATTGCCCAAAGTTCATCCTTGCCAAGATTATCTCCGTCTACTTCGGCATCCTTCCCCGTTTGGGCAAGAGCTTTGTTTGCAAAACGTGTATCTACCTCAACGCTGTCCAACCAAGCATCCTGATAAAACCACAATGAGTTAGCACATACACTGCTTAGGAATTTTCTATTACACTACAAGCACTTCAGATACTTGTCTGTGTTTACAACTCAACAGATCGAGATCCAGAAGATTAAGAAACTCAGAATTTTTTCTTACAGATCGTCAAACCACAATATCACTAACTTTCACCTGTAGTACTGGTAAAAATATAGTACCTTGCCATCGTTCTCATTGCGGTACTCCACATAATTTCCTTGGCCATCAAAATACCCTTCCTCCCTCTCTTGCTTCAAGTTGAAAGGTTCAAATCTTTGACCATCTTCAACGATCTCTTCATCCTCTTCCTGCATATTACCAGATAAAATCTCTTCATATTTTTCAGCCGAAACTCTTACCTTGTTGTATGTATAGGGAATAAGACATGAAAAATATACCGAACATGAGACAACCACTTGCAGTCTATAAAAACTCAAGGACGAAACAAAGCATGCCAAGTTCCATCCAGTCCAAGTGCGAAAATTTAACTGAAGTGACCTTTAAAGTACAAAAACTCAAGACAACATAACAGACTTCGACATCTCATGTTAACAAAACATTCCTACTATATATCTTCCTATACCTCATAAATCTCCTCGGCTACGGTAACATCAGCAAGCACGCCAGTGTCCTCCACACGAATTTGTTCTGTCGTAGGATCCCTTTTCAATGCCCTTTCCTTTGCGGCAACACGGGGATCAGCGGACAGTATTATCGGACCTTCATCTTCTTCTCCATCGATTACACCCAAGGTTCTTGCAGGAACCTCACCTGCAGCTCCTTTCCGTCCTTTAGGAAACCTGGCTTTCTTGGCCCTGAATTCAGTTTATGATCCGGTGATTTTAGTGCTTATACAAGGGTATGAACAACAGATGATGACTAAAAGGGGAAAAATAGGAATAAATCATGTATAGGAATCCACTACGTCAGGTATCACCGATATGGGCTCAGGAACGAAGATCTGCAACAAGTCAATTGATCGAATCAAATAACTCTAAGTCAACAACGAGTAGAAAAATATAAGCAATCCTATGGCCTCGAAAAACGTACAGGCTGATCACGATGAAGCTGATAGAGCTGTCCGAGATGGAGAAGCACTAAACTGTCTTAATTGGACAAAGTCCAATTGAGACAATGAAACATCGGACTAGGGCATTTTTCCGATTTAATGTGAAACATGTCGGGTTTATGAGAACAACGGTGAAGTTTATGCAGATGCATAAACTTCACCGTTACTTCGTAACAAGAAAACAGATACAAAAAACTGAAGATCTTTTCCCAAAGCTCCACTATTTTACTGCACATCGTCTAGAGGACCTTGTGGGGCAGACTTAGGCGCAATGCGCCCTAGAAGAATATTTACCTTGGAGCTTCATCCTTTGCGGGATCATCTTCGTAGGAAAAATGAAAACGCTTGCGAACGGACAAGGCGGGGGCAGTGGGCATTTCCATGTTCTCAACAGTACTAGTCAAGCCAACTCCAATCTTTCCGTGTCTTTCTAATCTAAAATTTCTCAGAATGTTCAAAATTTCCCTCCTCCTCTACTTCCAAGCTTCCAACCTTCGATGAAACAAAGGGCAGCTTCTGATTCCAACGTGAGGCCAACGACCTGACAATCTTCGGGACATAAATAAACCTCGAGCAGTCAGGAAATCCCTAAACCCTCAAAAAATCCATCAGGAGCGAGTTAACATTCGCATAAACCACAAATCATAACGACTGCTCAAACGAGTAAACTTTCTCCCGTAAAACTAAACAGAATCCAAGAACTAAAAAAATTAGTGAAGCTAGAACTACTAAAATGACTCGCAAATGAAACAGAGCTAACGAATTTCGGTCTCGCCACACCCCCAAAAAATCCACAGAAGATGAAAAGAAAGGCAGCGAAATCCGAAGTCCCTGAAGAGACTCCATCGGATCCACCTTTCAGAAGCGGAAGCAGAAAATTACAACGACGTCAATTAGACAATTGTCAACCAAGCCGAGCACGTGGTTCAACGTGGACTTCGAAGGGCTATGGGTGCAAGACAGAGTCCAGATCACGCTCGCACAATTTACAGAGTCCTTCAGAATTGTCACATTTGCACGTCAGGGACGAGAAGCAGCTTAGGCCTCGGAATTAGAACAATTCGTTCCTGTACCGAGGCAGCATCCTCGGCAGAAACACAATACTTGCTTAATACAAGGATCCCGTGGAAGTAAAAGACAGAAATCTTGCTTCTATATCACGACTGCAGTTCTTGTTCCCAAAGTTCTCCTACATACTAGGAACATTGGATCTAACCCAGCGTTGGGAAAATGGTTACTCTCGAACGCAACGTGTGTCAGTCGCAACTTGTGGAGTGGAGTGACCTATCAGCAAACGTCGACATCTACGGGTTACCTGCTACCGGAGGTCGATACAAGTCTCATGCTACCGTCAATCCTCTTGCAGTGGTAGGGTATCCATTTCATCCCTTTTCTAGGCTTGGCCACGGTCCGGTTAACGGTTAACCGGTCCGGGAAATGTGCGGACCGGTTAACCGGTCCAATTAACCGGTTAACCGGTAAGTTAACCGGTCCGGCATTTTGCCATATCGGTTAACGGTTAACCGAGGTTTTAACCGGTTAACCATCTGTCCCGGCCCTACGTGGCCGACGGGAAGGGCTGTGGCTGGGAGCGAAGGAGGAATTGCGCCATAGCTCGAGGACTCAAATGAGCCCCCACTCGGACTGTTGAAAATCCTCCCGGTTGAAAACGCTCTCGAATTGGAGAGACTTCGACTTTGCGCCAGGGTGCAAGGAAGCTGGAGAAACACATCCAAGCTCGAGATTTATGCTAGGGATTATCCACTTATCGAATTGGGTGATCAAATTAGGTGATCAAAAAAATTTACTTAATTTATTTGCAGCAGAATTAGACCAGCGAGCCTCGCTGGTCTAATTCTGCTGCCAGAGGAAAAATTTTTTCCCGGACCGGTTAACCGGTCTGGAGAAATCTGGGACCGGTTAACCGGTCCGACGGTTAACCGGTTAACCGTCGGTCCGGACCGGACCGTGGCCAAGCCTACCCTTTTCATCATCTCTTGAAATCTCCAGTCAGGAACCCAGAAGGCCAGAATCCATTTCTGAAGAATTTTCTCATGTTTCTAATTTCTGTCTTTTCTACAGTCTCCTCAACACGAAATGTTGTAAATAATCTATTTTTTTCATACCAATCAACTGTTTACCTCAAGTGATTGTTGGATGACGTGAGATGTGTTTCACATATTGTGAGCCTATGTAGATTAGTTCACACCCTCTTCAGTCGAACCACCTGGCTTATTTCAAATATCATCAAATAAAACACCGATACTTGCGTTAGAGAGGCTTATTGTCACGATCATCTTCTTCTCTAATGTCATGATATGTTACCTTTATATCCTTCGTGTTTCTTCGTAGATGTCGCCGCCTATACGAAATGCATTTGCCAGAAAATACCTAAAATTTCATGTACATTTACTGGAAATAGGGGCTTAAGCCAATTATATTTGTGTTTGGCTCTCTTGAATATCTAAGAGTTTGCTGCGAGGTTGAACTGTTGGAAAGGTCTAGACGAGAGTTCCGGACTGGGACGAGCGAAAGAAGGATCGATTCTTTTTGCATTAGGCTAGCGTAATGCAAAAAGTTATTCCCTTGACAGTACTTTCATTGAGAAGTCATTTGCAGAATTACTGCTCCAAATGACGAAACATACATTCTAGCACTCGCTGTGATGGGTAGAAAATTTGTGGTTTGAGTTTGAGTATTGAGGTTGGTGGTATGGTTTGAGTATTTTGGAATTGGAATAATTTAGCATGAGATCAGTGCTTCTGGTTAAGAGTGAAAATGAACAATTGTAGAACAGTTGAGGAGGAAAGTAAAGACTTTTGACTTCAATTTTTTATAAAGATAAATATACCTACTTTTCTTGTTTGTGAGGAACAAACAAGGTTGTGGTTTTTACCAAATATGACTTTTACTCTTTTAAGGTTTTATTTGACCAAACTACAGAAGAAATGAGTTTGAGGTCCAAACTTAACAATCATGAAGATAGATTTCTAAATCAAATAGATTACTCCAATATATGTTTCAACTATTTTTTTAAAAGCATCAAGTAAATAACATGCTAAAAATCTATATTTTTTAATATATTTAATATCTAAATTTTTATATATTACATCATGATACATATCATTTCATTTTATAAAAGAAGGTTGTGATTTTTGTTATATTTCATTCATAATTTTTGGTTTTGAAGCAAAAGCATGAGATTGAAAATTTTATTTTGTCATTTGAAATGATTGAATAAGGATTTTAGCCCAAAAAAATATCCCAAAAAAATTAATCATTTTGAACCTGATAACTTTTTAAATGAATAATTACGTTGTGAAATTTTTAAATCATATTGATATTTTGATTATTGGAGTTTATATATTTAAAATAATACTAAAAGAAGAAGAAATGGCAAAAGACTATTTTTTTTAATGGTTTGTATTAGTCATCTTCACACATAAAAGCCTAAAAAACTTGTTTTCAACCTTAGATTTAATCCACAAGCTATCAAATGAAATTACCGCACTTTTGGTGATCATGTACATTGTTATGTTAGATATCATTATCGCATCTGATACCACATTCTCGAGAAAGAGATTTTCACTACGTATTCTCTCGTGCTTGGTGGGAAACAACTTTACTCCTCTATTCATTCATCTTCATCGTATGCACTATTCTGCTTTTTGTTGAGACTGAAATGGTTGAGGTCGATTTGTAGCCGAGTTCGTAACCTCTTCTAACTCAAACTTTTGAGTCATTCAGTGGATTCTAACAACGTTCATGCTTCATCTTCAACCAGGTTCTTCTGGTTCTTGTTTGGCATTATTCATTCATGATCTTGGAAGAATTTGATACTTATACTTCAAACTAATTCAGTTTAATATTCCTCGCATCTTTCAACTAGATGAAATCATCCTTGTTATTGACTTAAAGTGTTAGATCCAAAATCTATCTTTCATCCTGTTGAATATATGTTTCACAGATCCACAAATAATGCAGCAACCAGATTTATCCTTACCAATTATACTTACTACACAAGCTTTGGACAAATTTCATTCATCTTCAATTCTTATGATGAATCATCGATTAGTAGAGCTTAAAGAAACCGCATATCGTTGATCTGATCCGATATGAAGAGTTTACAATAAATCCAATATCAACAAATTGAAAAAAAAATTAACCTTCATATCAATTGAGATTATGACCTTACAAACAATATAGAGAGTTTACAATAACTTTCAAATCAACAAATTGGAAAAAAATCTAACCTTCATATCAATTTCAATTGAGATTATGATCTTATGGACAATACGAAGAGTTTACAGTAAATTTAAAATCAACAAATTGAATCAAAAATTAATCTTCATATCAATTCCAATTGAAATTATGACCTTATGAACAATATGGAGAGCTTACAATAAACCTCAAATCAACAAATTGATTTTGAAATTGATTTTCAATTCAATTTCAATTTCATGAGATTGAATAAAAAATTCTGAATATTGAGAGTACTTTTATGATTTTAATTGAGATTGTGATCCACAATCTTGCAAAGTTTAAGTGTAAACTCTGCAAATCAATTTTTCTTCTAGGAATTTTAAGTCATCAGATCATCTACGCTATCAAAATAAAAAAATCCGTCAACTGTTATTTTCTGTGAAAGCCTAATAGTTTGTCTTAATTTCACCAATTTCACAACTTCCTCAAGTAGTAAACTATCGAATGAACAAATCCGAACGTGGAAAAATTATGTTCCGAAGATGCGTTCGACGTTATCATACTAAAAATTCAAATTGCGATGCCATATTAATCTTTCCATGAGTAATCATTGGCTAGCCAATATTGCAATGTTGGTTTGCGTCGATCGATAAAAATCCTGAATCGTAACGAGTTATTGATCTTCTCCTCATGCGCTCCAATAATAAACTCTGTATATTGCATGCACAAATCTTACTCTTTTTCTTTAGAAAGTGATATCAAATCATGAAATAGATATATTAGATTTATTAAAACATATTCCAACTCAGATTGTTGTGCATGATTGAAATTTTCACCTAGATATTATGGAATAATTTGATAAGCAAGATCATCTGCATCACTATACATGAATGGAAAATTTTGTGAGTATAATAAAACTAGATATTAAAATTCTTTAGACGAAATCAATCCGCCAGTAAATACTGTAGCAAAACTATTTGAAAGTTGATTAAAATTCAGATGAAACTCGGACAAAGTTACAATATCTGATTGATATTTGACTATGAGCTTATTGATGAGCTCAAAAACATTCAAACAATTCTTTAGTTGGATAAAAATGTGACATGAATAATGAACTTCTTGCTTTGATTGCGTTCAATTTTCTTTGCTTCACTAACAGCTCTATCAATAAAGTCAAGCTCCAAAATGATAAAAAATATGAGCTTCTTTAACTTTTGAATTAAATTGAAGTAGTGCTGAAGTGAGCCACATCTAATTGACGCAAGCTTAATAAATGAAGTCAGTTTTTCTTTCATCTACATGGGGATCAATTTCTTTCATCGCATGATGATTATCAAAAAATTTGACAACATCTTTGCACTTTTCAGCAAAGAATAAGAGCTTCTCAAATTTATAATTAGAAGTATAAGTTGCAACGGTATCTACTTTTTTATGTGTCTTTGTTGCACCAAAAATAAACTTCATCATAAGATGCAAAGCATGCGAAGTACATACTTGAAAGAATTTCTCAGCAAATTCAGTCTTCAACAACGTCCACGCCTTTTTATTTGCTGAGATATTATCAATGAGTGCGCCAGATTGTGTTTGGATAACAGAGCTAATGTCTTGAGCAATCCATTCAACTGTGTGTACTTGTTTGCTAGTGTATACGGACTCCAAGAATAAGCTAGTTGAACATTTTGCCATGTAATTTACTACAGGTTCACTCCAAATATTAGATCAACGGTTAGTCATTAGACAGACGTGTGATAACAAAGTAAATATTTTAACAATACATCTTTCGTTCATCTTATCGTATAACAATTCTAACAAATCATTTGTTAATTTCTTGCAATTAGGCAGAAGATCTTAATATGAACATTATATTTTGATTGACTTAATCAAATTTGTATCTTTGATTCGTTGGAACAATGTGACTGTGCAATAATAATAAGAAGCAATGATTTTCATAAATTTCTTCTTGGTTGAAGCATCTACAATTGTTAATAAAATGATCTAATAGACATTTGACTATTTGATTCTTCTTCCTTTGATTTTGATACCTATGATGGAGCTACTAATCTCTTCAATCCTATATATCATTCACATAGGTTGCTAATATTCATGCTATTCATTAGTTTCTTGAATGTAACGCACCTGTTGAGATGAACTACAACATCATCACTTTTTTTTGCTATAAATCACTCTCAGACGGCATCACTTCAAAATCAATTTTTAGTCTGACGACAAGTGATTCATAGGTAGATTCACGTTGCTAAAAGATTTCAGGGTTTCATTTAAAATCAAATTTCAACCAAGATTTTATGTTTGATATCAAATTTGAGATCGAATTTTAAATTTCAATTCTAAAAATTTAAGTAATAATTTCAAAAATCAGTTCAAATTTTTAAATTTGACATGAGATTTTGAATTTATATTTTAATTTCAAATTTTAATCCAAATTTTAATTTCAAATTTAAATCAACTTTAAATCCAATTTTATACCAATTCACAATTCTAGGTATTTTTAGAAAAACTTATTTGATAAGGAAAAACCTTACGGTGTGAGTCTTGAGGTTA